CAGCAGGCAGCAGGCTGCTCCTGCGCCCTCGGGGCAGGCGTCGTGACCCACCACTGGCAGTTGGAGCTCTTGGCAGCCCGTGCTGCACCTGTTTCGTTGTCATGCTTTTTGCTTGCTCTTTCTTTGTGTCCAACTCTGCTCTGCTTCTGTTCTTGTATCGCTTGCCTGATTCATCTATCGTTGGTTGAAGTTGCAACAGGTGCCCATGATAGAGTCAGAATACCAAAACAGCGCTAGCCCAACAAAGGGAGGCAACTAGTCTGCCCCAAGCCCGTCCCCGGCAGGGAGCAAGCAGGTCGCTGACAGGCCACAGCCCATCAAGCACCGGTGGCATCTTCATAGCGCCGGCCCACGTCGCGCCAGTTCACAATCCTCCAGATCTCCTTGAGGTACTGCAGCGGTACAGTGTCAGGAGAGAGGCGCCCCCACCACATGAGTACAACTTGGCCTGCTTCCTGCGCTCCCCTCTGCCTCCTCCCCCAAGCAGAGGCTTACGAGGAGCACTTTGTGCTGCCCGACGACCGAGTGGTGCTGCTCACCAGCGCGGGCCTCCTGCTGGTGCACGCCCCAGGCTTTGCCCAGCTGGACGGCGCTGCGGAGATAGGTGGGCGCGTGGTGGTGATGGAAGTGGTTGGTAGTGACAACTGCGGCGGTGGCGGCAGCCATTTGTGTGATTAGGCTCCCACTGTCGCTGTCCACCCCTGCTGCTCTGCCCATGCAGGCGCCATCAGCGTCAGTGATGTGGCTCCTGGTCAGATGCAGTGGGCAGGTGCGGCAGGGAAGGAAGCACCAGCTTCCGCCGGCAGCGAGGGCCATGCTGGTATGCCGGCCTGACGCCCCGAGCCCAACTCTTGGCGCCCTCGCTTTAATTAGCAACCATCTGCGGTGCCGCCGTGTCAATGCGTGCGTGCAGTGCGGTGGGATGATGTGCTGGCCTTTGAGCTGCGGTGGAGCCGAGAGATGCGATACCCCGACCGCCTGATTGTGCACCGCAAGGGCACGCCTGGCTGGCAGGCAAGCAGTGCCAGCATCATGCGGTGGGCCAGGTGCCCAGCACTTTGCAGCCATGCTCTGTTCACAAGCATTGCTGCGCTTCCTCCCCATGCCTGTCTTGCTACCCTGCCTCCACGTGGCCGCAGGAGGAGGAGAGCCTGGCGCACCAGGTCAAGTGCTTTGAGAACACGCCGCAGGCCTCGCAGGTCAAGGTGGTGGCCCAAAAGGCGAGTGGGGTGGGTTCTGGGCGTACCGCATGGCCAGCGGGCGTACCGCATGGCCAGCACGTGCGCTGGCTGCGACGATGACAGCACGGCGCCAGCTGGCATCGGCTGCTTGGCCCAGGGGCGGGGTGCCTGCTCAGCTCCCACGCAACCCTGCCCCCTGTCATCCAGAGCTAGTGGGCACGGCCTGTGTGTCCCCAGCCCTTTAAAGCGCCCGGTTCTCCGTAATCTCAGGCAGTCAGTCCCTCTGTCATCCCTCCCTCCTCTGCCTCCTGCAGGTGCTGCGCAAATACTACCTGGATCCGCTGCGGCGCAACAAGATGTGGAGCCAGCGGCATGATGCGCGCAGCATGCTGCCGCCAGACACGCCGCTGGAGCAGGTGGCTTGGGGCGCAGGGTGGGCTGCCTGGCCTGGCTGCGCTTCGTGTGCTGCATGCCACTGCCCGCAATCAACTGCTGGATGGTTGCGGCTAGCAGAGGAGAAGATGTTTGGCCTGGCATGCTGAGGGTCAGCCGATCCCTCAATACTCTGCTCCCCCTGCAGTTGCCGCTCACCATGCCCTGCCTGGACTTTGTGCTGACCTGGCACACCAACCCTAAGAAGTCGCCGGTGGTCAGCTTCTGGAAGCCGCTGGCGCCCGCGGGTGCGTGCCTGGCTGCTGGGTGGCGGCTGGGTACTGCTGCCACACAGGGAATGTGCAGCACACAGGACGGCCGCTCTGCGCTGCTGCTCTGCCTGCTCTGCTTCATCTTGGCTTGATGCCTGAGCTGTTCGCGGTTCCGCTGTACCACAGGGTACCGCGCTGTGGGCGATGTGCTGGCGCTGGGGCTGGACCCTCCCGCCGCGCCGGTGCCGTGCTTCCGGGATGACATGGGCCTGAACATCAGGTGGGAAAGGACGCAGACGAGATAACACTTGCATTCAGCTTTCGAGCCAAGTCCGGGATACAAGCTGCCTCAACAGAGTGTGTAACCTTCCCCTCTCCTGCCCCGCTTGTCCTTCTCGCCCTGCCTCTTCCTGCCCTGGCCGCAGCACCAGTAAGCAGCAGGACGAAAGCGAGCCGCCGCCCACGATGCGTCCCAGGGAGTTCTCCCTCATCTGGCGCTACAATGGCAAGCGGCCTGTGACGGTGTGGATGCCGGCGGCGCCGCCCGGCTACGCTGCGCTGGGAGCGGTGGTGCGGGGAGAGCCCGAGGCACCGGCCACAGACGAATACCTGTGTATCAGGTGGGAGTGCAGTAGTGGAAGAGGGGGTCGTGTATCAGTGGATGGGGGATCATGGGGGGCATTGGCTGAAGAGATGCCAACATGGGGGGGCAGGTACAGACCATGGCAACCCATTTGCCAGGCGCCTCACGCCACGCCTGCGCCCGCCACGCCGCTTCTGTTTGCAGGAGCGACCTGACGGCTACGACGCGGGTATTTAACTCGCCCATCTGGCAGTACGACCCTGTACCAGCACTACAGGCAAGCGGGACTGAGTGCGTCCTGATTGCTCGCATGGGGCGACTGCCTACCTGCGTTCCGCAGCCAGCGAGCATTCCATCGCAGCACCAGCCTGAGCCTCTTCATGCACATTGTCGGCGCAGGCCGCCGCGGCGCAGCTGGCCGGCAGCAGCAGCAGGGTGCTGCCGGTGCAGCGCGAGTTCAAGCCGCACCACCCCGAGACCTGGAAAGTGTCCATCTGGCAGGTGGGCCTGCTGCTGAGCTGTGCCTGCACTCTTCCTCCTCCTGCCATGGCCATGCCTGCGGCTTGTGCCCCTGCAGCCGCACCTTGAGTTCTGATTGGCTGCCTGTCCCTCTGGTGGCATTGCATGCAGGTGGACAACTGCATGGGAACCTTCATCGCAGTGCGCGCCTTTTCGGCGCCCCCGGCAGGCGTGCCGCGCACGGTGCAGTGTATAGAAGAGAAGGCGGCCAGCAGGCAGCAGGCTGCTCCTGCGCCCTCGGGGCAGGCGTCGTGACCCACCACTGGCAGTTGGAGCTCTTGGCAGCCCGTGCTGCACCTGTTTCGTTGTCATGCTTTTTGCTTGCTCTTTCTTTGTGTCCAACTCTGCTCTGCTTCTGTTCTTGTATCGCTTGCCTGATTCATCTATCGTTGGTTGAAGTTGCAACAGGTGCCCATGATAGAGTCAGAATACCAAAACAGCGCTAGCCCAACAAAGGGAGGCAACTAGTCTGCCCCAAGCCCGTCCCCGGCAGGGAGCAAGCAGGTCGCTGACAGGCCACAGCCCATCAAGCACCGGTGGCATCTTCATAGCGCCGGCCCACGTCGCGCCAGTTCACAATCCTCCAGATCTCCTTGAGGTACTGCAGCGGTACAGTGTCAGGAGAGAGGCGCCCCCACCACATGAGCACAAGCAGACACTTGTGGCCTCCACATTGCACCTTCCAACCCCAAATCAGCGCCCACCCCAGCATCCAGCACTCACATCGGGGCGGGCGTTCTTGTATTGCAGGTCTGGCAGGCATGGGCAGGCAGCAGCAGCGAGGGTTGTGAGTAAAGCGGCTCGAAACACACGGCCAGGCAGCAGGTTGCACGTTCAACGCAGCGCTCGGCAGCAGCACTTACAGTAGGCGTGCTCCCTTCACAGCCGCGAGGACGTTCCAGGAAGGCAGGGGGAATGGTCAGCCATGGAAGAGCACTCCTGTCGCTGCTGCTAGGGATGGTTGGCTGAGCATGCCAGCTGCCTATCTGCTTCCTCCCTCCCCCCCGCGCACCAGACGTCCACTCCCAGCAGCGGCACCAGGCCGGTGGTGGGCTGCAGCGGGTCCTGGTTGGGCGTGGTGGTGATGACCAGTGTCTTGGCCTCGGGGTGGTATGCCAGCCAGCCCCAGCCGCTGCCCTGCAGGCAGTGGGCAGGCACAGGCAGGGAGTTACGCCCCCAGGCGGCCCTGCCCAGGAACCCCGGACCCGCGGTGCCGCCAGCACTGCCCTGATGCATGCACGGCTGCCCCCAGGCAGACACTCCTTGCCAGGTGCGCGCCTGCACGGCGGCCGTGGCGGCGATGAACTTGGAGATCATTCCGTCCAGAGCGCCAAACTGGGCGTCGATGGCCTGCTCCAGCGCGCCGCTGGGGGGATGGAACTCCTGCAGCATATAGAGATGGTGCCAGCAAAAGCAGGGCATCAGCGGCCACGAGTGATCATCAGGGTGCCAGGGGTGCAGCCAGTGACCCAGCCCGCACCTTCTCCGGGCACAGCATGTTCCAGAACAGGCTGTGGTTGATGTGGCCTGCAGGGGGCGGGAGCAGAGGGCGGTGGGAGGTCCAGCAGGAGGCCAGGCAGGAGTGACCCCATTCAGCCGCAGGTGCCTGCCCATCTCCCTCTGCCCCCGCCCCGCACCGCACCGCCGCCGTTGAACTTGATGGCGGGCTGCAGCGAGATCATCTTGGGCACGTCCCCCTTGTGCTCCGCCTCGGCATACTGTTCCAGCGCCTTGTTCACGCCGGTGACGTAGGCCTGAGGAGGCGGGGGTGGTGTGGGGCGGGAACAGTGGGGCGGGGGGGCGGACGGCACACCATCAGGTGCTGAGCGAGACGCGTTTAGGCGGTGCCTTGCCAAGGGCGAGCGGCAGCAGCAGGGCGCCTCACTTGGTGGTGCTTCTTGTGGTGGAGTTCCATTATCTCCGCAGAAATGATGGGAGCGAGGGCGTCGTAACCGTACGGGAGGTCAGGCAGCCTCGCCTGGATCCAGATACACGGAAGCTGGATGTTGGCGCCCAGCACTGGGCGGCAGGGCGGATGCCAGCCGTCTGCCTGCTGCACACTCAGCGCACCTGGGTGGCCATGCCGCGGGCCTGCAGTGCCCCTGCTTGCAGCACCCGAGCTGCCTGTGTACGCATCATCTATGGAGGCAGGACGGGAAAGTGGTGCACCTTGGACCAGCGCCCACCCACCAGAGGATGGGCTGTGGCTGTTTCAGGTTGGCTCTTTTCACTAGTCCAAGGCTAAATGACTGCTTGGAGGTTTGGGTTGAGGCAGACAGTGCATCATTAGCTGGCTTCCTGACTTTCCTCCAAGGTGGAAAGCCCCCTGACCTCCCCGCCTCCCTTGTTTCTCTGAGGCGCTAGATTACAAAGTGACTCTCTGTTGGTACATATCGAGCAGCTCAGACCTACTTGCCGGGCATGCTGGGCACAAAGCGATCGCCGCTGGGCCCATCCTTCTCGCCCGCCGCCGCCCCCCCGCGCATCGCCTGCTGCCACTCAGTCCTGAACTCGGCGCTGACCAGCAGCAGCAGCGGCCAGGCCAGCAGCAGCCACCAGCGGCTGCGCTCCTTGTAGATGGTGAGGTGGAAGCGCTTGGCAAAGGCGGCAGTCGCGGCTGCCCAGAAGCCGGCCAGGCCCGCCGCCAGCAGCAGGCCCACCCCCGTCCACGGCCCCAGGTGCAGCGCGGACGGCGGCGCCGCGTACGCGCCCACGCCGCTGCAGCCGTGGGGCACCCCAATCACCGTGAAGCTCTCTGAGCGGAAGGCGTGGTAGGAGCCGCCTGCGGCACGGGTGTGGAGCAGGGTCGAGGGACGAGGGGACAGGAGGGGCAGCACTGATAGGGCAGGCTGGCAGGGCCTGCCGCAGCGGGGCTGGCCGCCGCACCTGGCCCCTCGTGCCGCTCCGAGCGCTGCCAGCGGTAGCCGCAGGGCCCGCCGCCGCCGTCGATGTGCTGCTGACGCTCCTCAACCCCGCGCCCGCTGCCGCCGTCCTGCTGCTGCACCTGCGCCATCTCACGCTGCGACGCCTCAAAGCGCTGGTCCATCTGCGGGCAGGCAAGGAGCAGCCAGGGGCTGGAGGGTTGTTGCAGGGTGCATTCACACGGACAGGCAGCTCCAGAAGGTGCCATAGCAGCTCCCTGGCTAGGCAACCTGCCCCGCTGTGCTCGCCTGGCGATGCATCTCCGCCATCTCTGCCTGCGCGCGCTCCATGCCCCGTATCTGCTCCTGCCACAGCGCATCGAAGCCTGACACTCCGCTGGTGCTGCTCATGCCTACAGATGCGGGCACGGCAGGGCGCAAGCTAGGGTCTGCTGCTGCATCCTGCCCCAGCAGCAGGAACCTGTGCCAAGCCTGCTAGCAATGGAGGCAGCCCAATGCAGCAGCAAGCAATAGCAGCAGCAGCAGCAGCATGGAGCACCTGTCGATGCTCCTGACAGGTCGTCAAAGCGCCAGGGGCCGCTGCCCGCGGCGGCCATGAACACGGCACCGCGCCGCCTGCCACGTACAGACAGCTGCAGCAACAATGCATTTCACAGCTCAGCACCGAAGCAAAGAGCACATTACACCTTCAAGGCAGCGAGCCAAGGCACTCTGGGCCACACACGCCAGCAGCGGGCGGCGCTTGCCTGCAGCGTCGCGAGGCGCAAGGCGGGGCGGGGCGCATGGCTCTGCGCGGCCGGCACCAGGCGCATTGCCGATGACATTGGCTTCTTGTACACTACCCGGCTGGAGTCCCGCTGCGGCCAGAGCTTTGCGAGAGCCCGGGCGGGATGCTCCTGCCCACAACTTGAGCGCGGTGAGCGGGTTCAGAAGCTCGCCCGAAGTTGCGCGGGGGTGTGAAGGAAGCAAGGGTGCGGGCTCTCCCAGGGAGTGAGCCGCCTGCAAAGTGCGGCGGCACTCGGCTCACGTGTCGAAGAGCGCTGGCACAATGTGAGAGCCTGTGCAGAGGCCCCAGCACCTCCTGGGGCCAGACGTTGCGGCGCAAGAAGGCTGAGCTGGCGGGCGGCGCAGGCGGGCAGGGGCAGGACGGTGCGGGGACTGGGTTCGGCAGCCAGCACCATCCCACGCCTGCCATACCCAGCCTCTGGGCCTGGGCGGCTGATGTTGTAGTAGAGGCAAGCCAGCCAGGCATGCGAAGCGCGCTATTCAGGTGCCCGGCGCCCTGACAACTGCCGATGCCGCCGGCGACGCGCTGCCCTCACCAGGCCTAAGCTGGAAGCTGATGAGGCCGAGGGAGTCTATTCCTTCCGAATTTTTTTTGGCGCCCAGTCGAGCATGTCGGAAGGCAGCTGCCCGTGCTTTCCACCAGCCTTGGATGGCACAGAAAGCAGGCCACCCTTCTCAATATTACTAGACTTGGCCCTCTTCCTCAGGTGTTGGGTCGGCCCAGCCCTTGTTTCTGGCCGGCACCACCATGGCTGCTCTCAAACCGTTGTCTCCCACGCTGGCGTGCCTCCTGTTGGCCGCCCTCTTAGGCACAGCAGCGGCAGGCCGCCCCTCTGAGCTCGCCATCCCGGTGCCGGGCGCACCCCCGCCGGACACCGCGCCGCCGCAAGCAGGCACACCAGCACCTCTGCCGCCGCCTGATGCCACTGTTGACTTGCTTTCTCCTCCCTTCGAAGAACCGCCGCCGCCACCACCTGCTCCCGCACCTGAAACTGCACCACCGCCACCGCCAGCACCTGCTCCCGAACTTGAACCTGCAGCACCGCCGCCGCCGCCATCTGCTCCCGCACCTGAAACCGCAGCACCGCCGCCGCCACCACCCGCCCCAGCACCTGAACCCGCAGCACCGCCGCCGCCACGGCCGCCACCGAGCGGGATGCAGCTGGAGCAGTGCACGCTGCTGCCCAACACCAACGCCCGAGGAGCGACCATCAGCAACATGCAGCGCGGCTCGGTCACCGAATGCTGCACAGAGTGCCAGGAGACCGACGGATGCAACGTGTTTGTGTATTGCCCCAAAGACGGCGGCTGGTGCGTTGGGCGGCATGCTGGTTTGGACAGCTGCAAGGGAACCGAGTGACCAGCAATGCGGAATGAAAGTGCCCGGGGTGTGGCTTTGCGACCCTGTGTGCAGCCCACAACCTGCTTCCAGCGCTTGCCACTCAGTGCCTGTTCCCCTTGCCCTTGCCTTCTCCCCGCCCCCCGTGCAGCGACGATGGGTCTGGCAGGGTGTACCCTCAGGGCCTGTGCACTCTCAAGTCCCAGCAGCTGGCGCCCGGGGAGCAGCCCGAGTACTTTGCCACAGGCCCAGTTGTGCCCTGGAGCAGCGGCTACATCCCCGCCTGAGGCGGCCACATGCGCGGGCTGGCTGGCTGGCAGGCGGCTGTCGGATTGGGAGCCGCTGGCGAGCTCCCGAGGTGCCGACCCTGATTGCACAGTTGCGATAGCGCCCACCATGCACATGGATCCTCTTCCTCAGAGAGCTCGCTCTTCATGAGCTCCCTCTTCATGAGCTCCCTCTTCATGACACACCCCTGTGAACAGTACAGGCCAAGGTTTACAAATCGGGGCAAAGAATAGAAACATGGGGGGCAGGCTGATGGCAGGGGGCATCTGACAGTGGAGCAGTACAGGAGAAGAAGCGGGAGGAGGGGCGAGAAGCAGAGGAGCAAAACGTAGAGAAGGGCTGGGAAGACGGGAGCAGGGGTGGGCAAGCTCTCAGCACGACTGCCGCCATCCACGCCTGCATAGAGCCGCGGGCCGCGGCGGCTGGGCCGAGCGGTTCAGGCAGCAGCGGCCGCTGCATGCGGCAACGGCGTGTGTATGTTGCTTGCTGCCGGCGGCCTTCCTGACAAAGGCGGGGTGTCAATGCCCTGGTGCAGGGCGGACACCTCCCTCAAGGTCATCAACACAGACGACGGCGACCAGGCGCAGGTGCGCGTGTCACCGGCCTCTTGCTTGCTGTGAACTAGTGCAGGCTGCACACATCGCACACTTTTAACCTTCTCTGCTGCCTGCATATGCGTGGCGGCCGTGGCTTCCGTTTCCCACTGGACGGCTCTCTGCCCCTGCTCCCTGCCCCTGCCCCTGCAGCGCGGCGACTTCCGCGGGCGCCGCTTTGTGGCGCCTTCCTCCATGGAGCTTCTGTCCTACCCGCTGCCAAGCTACCTGTCCCAGACCACCTCCCAGCAGCAGCTGGCCGCCGGCGCCAGCGCGGAGCAGCAGGCCCAGCGCCAGCGCCAGCAGCGCCGCCAGCAGTACGGCGTTCGGCTGCGGGTGGCGGGCAGCGGCTGGACGCCCGCCCTGGTGCTGGATGTCGCCGAGGTGGCGGCAGGCGTCGCCGCAGGCGGCCCGCAGCAACAGGTGCGTGATCGCAGTATGCAGAAGCTCGGGGGGTGGCAGCTGCGGCACGGCTTGGCGGCACTGGCTGTTGCCTGGCTAGAGTGCCCTTGCGTCTGCTAGCCGACCCACCGCTTGCTGGGCCAGCCGTTCATGCCGCTCACCTCCACCTCGCCAGCCCGGCTGTCCTGGCTGCCCTGCCCTGCAGGAGGGAGACCTGCAGGCTGTGCGGCCGGTGCTGGTGCGGGCGCTGGTGCGGGAGTTTGGGGTGGTGCACGAGGTGGTGGTACGCCTGGAAGTCACCGCCTTTGGCACGTCGCAGGTGCGCCGGCAGGGCCGACGGGCAGGGAGCAGGGCTTGTCCAGGTCGGGGCGGCGCGGGCGCGGGGCCCGGCGACGCGGCAGCAGTTGCCAGGCATGCCAGGCATGCGTGTATGCCCTTTGCTCGAACCAGTCATCAGGAACCAGTCGAGGCGAGCTTGGTGCTTGTGTGCGACTCGCCAGCATGCCTCCCAACTTGGGGCTTCCCTGTTTCTGTTGGCAGATGCTGCGCCTGGAGCCGCACGTCGTCATCAGCAACCGCACGGCGGTGCCGCTCCAGCTGCTGCAAAGCCGGCTGGAGCTGGTGGCGCCGCCGTCGGGCGCCAGGCCGCCCGCGGCGGGCCGCCCCTCGGGCGCGGTCGTGGCGGAGGGCGGCAGCAGCTTCACGCAGATCAGCAGGGGGGTGAACGCGGCGCCGCAGGCATCTGGAGGTGCGGCCCCGCCGCCAGCGCTGCCGCCAGCGCTGCTATGCGTGCCGTGCTCTGGACTGGTACCGGCCAGTGCCAGCCAGCGCACCTTGCTTGCAGCCCCACTCATGCTTGCTGTGCCGCTTGGCTGCTG